TTCTATCGAGCGATGACGAGGCCCTCATCCCGGCGACCATCGTCCTGTTTGTTGAGTGTTAACCGTGTTCGGGCTCGCGACCCAAAGGGGCTCAGGACTGGAGGTGTGCCGAGAGGGCGTATGCGATGCTGACGAGGCTTTCTCGTATCGACGAGTCAACACTGAGGCGGTCCGATGCAAAAATACCAACCGATGTGGCACGGCAGGCACTCCGCGCGCGACCTCGTACTCAGCCGGCTCCCTTGCTCATGCACTTCAGCTCAGCTTAGCACACCTCAATTATCCATTGTTGTGTTTACAGCGTTCTGAAGCGTCGACAGAATTACAAGTCACGATAAGATTATTCCCGGTGGTCATGGACAAGGTGTCGTGTCGCATCAACGGTGACCTTACACCCACGTCAACCACAACGACAACGTGGTACGCACGCGAAAGCGCTCCGCCAGGCTGGTCCTTGTCATAATTACCGACATATCCCTCCCTCTATCGGGCTCCGAACGTCTTTGTTTTCTTCTGTCTGCCGATGAACAGATAACGCAGCTGTGACGCTTCCACCGACGTCGCACAATCACAACGAGAACTCCCATCGTATGCGCCTGAAGACATTGCGCTCGAGATCTGCCTCCCCGATTTTGTGCCAGCGACAATGGAATTGATTCTCCACGATGAGGCAATTCATTCGCTGGCACACTAACACGCATCCAATACGAGTCGAGGCGACTGTCAACCAGCCCTGCGCTATCGATATAGCCTATCGATAGGAAGGAGGTTCCTGCATAAGCGCTGCTGGTCTTGCGCAGCCTAACGCATGCGCTCTGCGCCCGGTGTGTCAAACTTCATCTCCCAACAACTGGGTATGACATGTGTCTACGTTTGCCATTCTTTGTCGTTCTGAAAACCTTAGGGCTGGGAATAACGACGAGGTTGCGATATTAAAGCTCGTCGCGAGGTCGCGAGTACACGTAATGATCTCCACTCGCTCCGACAGTTCTGGATCGTGGGCACGGTTCGGCATCGGAAGCAACGACCCGGGCGTGGTGCGTGGGTGGCCTGGAATCGTCGGTCCAGAATCTCACAGTGCGCACGTGACGTCGGTAGATCGCAGAGCACACGGTCTTTGGCACAAACCTACGAGATGGACAAGCCGTGATGCAGGGCCTCTCTCCAGATGTACTGTGGTAAGCCCCGGAGTGTTGTGAAACTGCGAGTCCCAGATCATCCAAGGTTGTTGGTCGGCTAGGATGCACTGCCCTGCAGGTGACGTACAGTGTCGATCGTCAGGCACCTTTACCGGTATGGTAACTTAGCCTCTTTGGAATTCCAAGGACTGGGACCGATCGCATCATGTCGCTCCGAGATGGCAATCTAACATTGTGGTTCACTACGATAAGGTGTTTCAGGACAAACAGCGGTTCGCCGAAAGCCAGTGAGTTCCGAAACGCTGGTGGCAACAGTTCATTGCGTAAACTGATAAGTCGGTTGACTTTGGGTTCTTCGGGTTGATGGTGTCGTGGTGAAACGTCGGCGTGAAGACCCTGGAAGCTTGACGACGGGTGGCAAACCTTCACGCAGTCGTGTGGAAGGGACGTATGGATGTAGACACGTGCAAGATTTTTGCTGCTTCCGAAGAAGTACGGATATCGTTGATACAATACAAAATAATATCTACGAATACCCTCATCGTACGCAATGATTCCCTTCTTTGCGTATAATCCCCTCTGTGCAGACCATATCGCAACCCATTTCCAACGTCACAGCACACCCATCCGTACACCACGTATACTTTCCGCCAGGCAAGCAAGTAACCTCTCCCTCTTGATCGCAGGCCAAACACTGTTTCACCAACCGTCCTCCAGATTCTGCAACGGCGAAGAAGCGAGTCCAGTAGTTTATCCGCCTTCTCGTCGCCTTGCTCTCTTCGTCTCGTCCCGCAGAAGGTGTTGCGTTATCCATACTTCTAAACAGCGATACATCAATGTACTCGGTCTTCGAAGTGAGAACGGAAGATTAGCCAGTGCTGATGTTGCTCATCTTTATTCCTGTGTCTCGAGCTTTCACGGGTGCTTTTGCTTCGGAAGCTTGGGTAGACTTGGCCTTGCAACGTTAGTGAGTTGATGTGGCAGAAGATGTAGAGGGAACTGCAGTGGCGGTGGCAGTAGTACTCACGTTAGGTGGAGGGATCGGTGTTGTTAATCCCGCACTGATGCTCGCGACAGAGGAAGTACTTAGGCTGTCGGAAGTTATGACGCTCCTTGTGGGCCAGTAGAATTCGGAAGTATTTGACCCAGAGATAACCGGTATTGCCAATGGTGTCGCTGGTATTCCAGATGCGGTACTGCTCAATACCGAGAAAGTAGGGAGGCTTCCTGACGATATGCTCAAGGTTTCCCAGCGCGTTATCCAAGGCAATACAGGTGTCCAAGGCAGATCGGTGCTGGAATTGCCAGGTACAATATGCGACATAGTGTGGGAGCAAGTAGTACTCTTCCCCATCGGACTGGTTGGGCTGGCAGACGTGGCAAGTGTGTCAGTCACCATCGTACTATCTGCACCTGGAAGAGATCCAGAAGCCATGGAGGTCGGCAAAGGATCATATGTAAAGGACGGTAAGACGAGAGAAGTGGTGCCAGATGGCCATATGGGAATACCGTCGATGATGCATGGTTCAGTCGGATGGGGGCATATCAGAGTAACCGCTGTGCTAGTGGGTTTACTGTAGTCAGGTCTATCGGACGGTGCCGTCACTGAGCCTGGTGGTGGAGGGACGGCGAATTCGGAGGTATAGTTGCCAGTCTCATGAGGCGATACGTAAGGTAGAGTGCTTGTGGTCGTTACAGTAAGTTTAACGTGCGTGGTAGAACTGCTTGTTGGGGACAGCTGATCGGTTGCTGCAGATGTTTGACTGTTGTTCTCATCGTGGGGGGTTCCTAGAGCACAGCTCACTAACAGTGCAATAAGGCCGAGATACATATTGCTAGTGGACATGATAGTGGCGCTAATATATTGGCAAAACGTTGGGAGGATCGGTACATGTCGCGGAGGGAGAGGTATGGGAGAGTCGTTTTGTAGCCAACAAACATCTACACTCGCCAAATGCATCACTGAGTTGTCCATCGACGTGTCAAATTTGTGTTGTATGACCAAAAATTGGCATCCAGCAATCAGCAGGCGAGCGTGAAGGCTGTGTAAATGGAAGTATTCTCATTCAGTCGAAATGCGCGCCATGTGCATCCTCCATTCATATCCTGATCTCTGCCGCTTTTCTGAGTCGGTTCATGACCGCGGCGGCAATATCGTCACCTGTTTTATCGTCGATTCCCTCCACATATATGACCTCAACGCCTTTCTTGTCGAGCTCTCTTAGTGCTGAAAATAGGCCTCTGGCAACATCCTCGGTCTTCGCACCAAGGTTGATCTCCCAAACCTGGACTGCCTCAGGCTTCACAATGTAATGATCGGCGTGCGGTATCTGGTGCTGAGTGACAGATCGCAGAAGGTTCGAAAGGCGCGACGGCGAGTCGTTGGCGTCTAAAGAAGCGGCCGTGTCCGGTGAAGCGCAAATTCCTGGTCCGTTCGCATCCGATGTCTTTACTTTCTCGGCACGCAAACCTAACACGGTATCCCAGCTCTTGGTCCGGATGACACCAATGCGCCTCTTGCTCTTCAGCTCGTCCGATGTAGGTTGGCTCGCGCCTGCCTCGAACAGAAGGACCGATGCCTTCGGACTATAGTGTCTGTACTTCATTCCAGGGGCGCGCGGTCTGCTCGAGTCTTCCGCTTGCTTATCCTTGTATCCGACCACTACGTTCTCCCATCCTGGGCATTGCCGTAATTGTTCCACGGTGACACCACCCGGTCGCAGTATCGCAGGTGGGCTCGATAGTCCGTCTATGACTGTGCTTTCAACTCCCACTTCGCATGGCCCGCCATCGATTATCAGGTTTAGTTTGCCGTTCAAGTCGTCGTAAACGTGTTCCGCAGCGGTGGGCGAAGGTCGTGTGGATGCATTTGCGGATGGTGCGGCGAGTGGGCGACCGCATAGCCGTAACAAAGACAAGGCGATGATAGAGCGCGGCATTCGTGCGCCAAAAGTCGGAAGACCTGCTGTCACCTCTGGTGCGAGGATCGGATTCTCAGGGGCCGGTAGAATGATAGTAAGTGGTCCAGGCCAGAAGCGCTCAATCACCGGCCTGTATATATCCGGTATGGGATCCTTCCCAGCATCCTTTCCGTCTCCTACGACGTCTAGTTTTCCCAAAAGCAGCGCTCGAAGTTGAGGTAAAGAGTGTATGTGGACGATCAAAGGGTTGTCGGCTGGTCGTCCTTTGCTCGCGAAGATCTCCTTTACCGCCGCGCTTCTTGTCGCATCCGCGCCAAGTCCGTATACGGTCTCTGTTGGAAAAGCGACCGGGATGTTCGTATTCACAAGCTCCTCCGCTGCTTGCTTCAGTGTTCCAGCATTAGCCTCGCCCTCTGTATCGTCGTATTCTATGTCCCATTCATCGATCAAGTCCTCTGACTTCTTGAACGTGATTTTCCCCAACTTCTGGGGGTCTACGCGTCGAACGCTAGTTTCAGGCATCTTTGCGACGGAGCAGTCGCGGATGTTTGGGGCAGTCGCAATAACGGGCGTGTAGAGTTTGGAGGCGGGCGTGAAGGAGTTAATCGGTCTTCTCAGCGTGGGGATCGGGACGCGGCGGGGCTCTGATGCAGCGACTTGCACCAAAGAACGTATGGAGGCGATATGGAGTGAATTATTCGTGGGTTTGACATTTGGGATGCGGGGATGGCGAGTGGGCATTAGAGTGATGACTGGTGAAAGCCAAAATTTCTCGGAACGTTGTGGGGCTCAGTTCCGATGGCACGCGACGTCATGATCGGAACGAACGCACCTGACACGCTCGAGACTTTCACAACGACATCACCAACCCAGCTGTGGTCAAATGGCAATATTTGACAAACGACATGGTATTTCCTATCGTTCTTTCACTCCGTGTGCCTTAACTACCAAAGGTGTTTGTCATCGAACCATAATTCTGACCTAGTTGCAGCCCTCTATTCTCACCAGAGCCAGAAAACGTAGTGGTATTCTGATGCGTCGCAGCAGCAGCCTTTTGCAATGCGCCTTGCATCTGTTCGTCGTCTTCGCCCAAGGCGTCCTTCAACAGAGTTGAGAGTCCCGGTTCATTCGCAACAAGCTCCTCTACGTCTTCGTTGCACAATAGCTCCATCTTCTTTCTTATACCATCTGGAAAAGCGGCTATGAGCTCGTTGATTAGGCTGGAAATAGACTCAACGAGCTTGGTGAAACCGTCACGAGAGAACAGCGCCCATTTCGTCTTCGCGTACAGACCGTCCTTCACCTTGGATGCTTTATTGGTTCTGCCTAGAGCCAGCTTGTTCATCTTACCACACAACTTCTTCATGCGATCGCTGAGTTCAGGCTCTGATGATCTTCTCTCTAAGTTTTTGGCCTTCTCCTCCGTTACCTGAAACAGCTTGATGATATGCTCAAGCGTCCGTTGCGCAACTTCTTGCTCGTCCGGAGAGAAATGGAGAGGGATTTCAGCGTCCGTGTCTGTAACACCCACGGCACTGCCCCAATGAGAGAGCCGAACCTCGGATAGATGGAGCCTGATGCGGTATGTCTCGAAGTCTTGGCCAAAATCTTTGGCCACACGAACGTACTGGAAGCATTCAAGGGCGTTATTGAAGAGTGCAGCAATGCCAAGAGCACCAAGTGTAAGTCCAGCTGCTTCTGCCATCTTGGGATGTGCTAAAGCGATTGATAACGCAGGACGGCAAAGTTGTGACGCTTCTAGTTATAGATCTCAGCGCAGACCATCACATGGTTCTAGCAAACTGTATCATCATCACATGTTCACCGTTGGTAGATGGTTTCCCCATTCAATTAATACGCCTAGAAGAAGGGAATCATATCAGAACATACATTTGGGGTGTTTTGATCGAAAGCTACACGGCCGATGTGTTATTTCTTCATCTTGAGAGCCCAGTCATCGATGACCTGAACCACATCTGCATGGCCTCCTGCTTCAGCTCTCATGCGTGCATTCTTGCCCCCCTTATCCTTGGTCTTAGGCCTGGCTCCGTTTTTGAGAAGCAGCTCCACGATCTCTGCAAAGCCGTTCTCAGCCGCGATAATGAGTGGTGTCTTCTTTTGTCCATTAGTACCATTGATCGCTACTCCTTTTGCGACAAGCAACCTCGCAGCCTGAAGGGAACCGTGTTTGGCCGCAACATGAAGAGACATGCTCATATCAACGTCTCGTTGCAGGAGGAGTTCGAGAAGGCTTGCGTCGTCTGTCTCGGTAGCGGTGAGAAGCATGCTATTCGTCGGTGTTGCGCCTCTCTTCAGCAGCATCTGCATAGTCTCGTGGTCCTTGAAAAGGTCTGCAAATTCGGTCATTCTCCAAGAACCATACTTGTCAAAGCGAACCACCAAGTCCACATTCGAGCCGAAGAAATCCAGTAAGAGCTCGAGAATAGAGAAAGATACTCCATAAAACGAAGCCACAAACAGGAACTTCTTTTCTCTCTCGCTTTCGTGACCAACCGTCTTGATTTTTGGTAGGAGAAATCGGATCACATCTTCATGGCCGCCGCTAATCGCTGCTAACAAGCCGTAGTCCAGGTAGAGATGCAGTGCTTTGGTTCTGGAGAACAAAATTTCTACAAGATGCTTACTGCCTCCGAAGCAGGCTGCGACGAAGGCGGGTGTAGGGATTTCGAAGTACTCTGACAAATCTGATGCCGGACTGAGCTCATCTGGGTCGGCGCCAGCGTCGAGTAGTACCTGCACAATGTCTTCGAGACCTTGGCGGCACGCATCCCAGAGTGCCGTTTCATTCTCGCATTGTCCAGTCGAAGGATTGTATTGTCTGATGTTTGGACTACCCCCACGACCAAGAAGATACTTCAGAACGCTGACATGACGCCCAGTGATAGCGTCAAATACTGATCTATCGTCTACGGTTGCGCCCTGATCACACAACCAAATGACCACGTTTTCGTGACCTCCGAGGGCAGCGTAATTCAGTGAAGATTGCCCTATTGGATCCAAGAAGAGGTTTATGACATCGGAACGCGGTATATCGGGAAAGGTAGAGAAGTAAACGATCCACGGAAGCACGCCTAGAGCTGCCGAAAGATGCGTTGGGTGGATGGTCTGCCTCTCCTTGAGGGAAGGACCCGTTTCGGGATCACCGAACTGAGGAGGCAATTCCCATTGAAATACAGGATACATTGCCGCTCGGGAAGACCACCACCAGCCGGCGTATGCCATGCCACCTTGTTTGAAGAAAGTGCCGACTCTGCTTTCTAACAGATCCATAGCCAGGCCTTCTGACTCTGCTTTGATGAGCCTGACATGGGTTGGCCAATAGATCGTGGCGTATGATAATAGAGGAAGCCGCGTATTTGTATCTTCATCATCACAGAACCAGTACTTTTTATCCGAGAGATTATTGTAGAGATAATCCAAGCACGTGTGCGCAATTTGGTGGTGTACTGCATCTGCTTGACAGAAAAACGGCCGAATGTCGGAGTCATCCGCCACGCTCGACTCAAATAGATGTTCCTTCAACGAGTAATGGACCAGGTCGACCGTAGGCGCGTGAGTAGGATCGGGGTTATGTCTGATGATGAGCAAAGACCTACACCATGTGATACGATCACTGAGTCTCTGCTCCACTGATATGGTTTCTGACCCACGGATTTCCAACACCGCTGCTAGCTCCGCTAGGTTCATGGGTCTCATCGCTTGTGCCACCCAGTGCAGCAATCTGATACATTCCGAGCGATATTGCGGATTTGGATGTACTTGGTGAAAAAGTCGGTTATAGAGAGGGACAAGTCCGGTAGGGAACTCGGCCAACGAACTCTCGATCTCTGTAGGCGTCTCTTTGACTGACAATTCGTCCATTACGCAACCAATCCAAAGGAACGAGTTGCCCGAGCGTGACTGTAGGATTTGTTTGACTTGGTCCTGTAGCGCTCGTGTGCAACCGGGCACTTGATCTGCCATTCCAGCTACTCGCGCATCGATGAATCTCGTGATACTCTCGTTGTAGCCTGGGTCTTGTATGGTGTCTAGGTCGATCTTAGACGCAAAGTCCATGCTTGTAATATTCCGACTCGCAACGAGAATCCTCACGTTTCTCATATCTTTGTCGGAGCTATCGGTATGGAGCTTGGACAGCTTCTGTGCCAACCAACGAGCTGTTCCATCGTCGCACTCATCAAGCCCGTCGATCAGATACACCAGACCTTCAAGCCCCTGCTCGTGCAGTAGCTCGGTAACGATTCGCCAAAGGGCATCGCGCGACTGCATCGTAGCCTCAGCTCTTCGGTCCTCCCGAACGTAGGGGTAGACCTTGCTGTGTAGACCTCGTTTTTGGTCGATGATTTGATGTATCAAGGTACGAAGTATTGCACATACCGAATTGCGATTCGCATCCCGATGGTCGCAGAAGAAGTAAGCGAAGACTTGATTGCCAACATTGCATCGTTTCTCGAGCAAGGCCGTGATATGAACCGAAATCATTGTTTTGCCTTTTCCAGGTCCACCTGCGATCCACAGTGTTCTGGATGATGACCCATCCAACCAATCCGAGAAAGTGCGGTCTTGCCAGATCCAGTCGCATGTGCCAGAAACGGGGCTACCCTTAGTGTTCACGACATAATCGCGGTCGACATGAGGGTCTGTCACCCAGAGCGCTTTGGTACATTTGTCGAATCGTTGCTCATCTGTATGGCATCCGGACTCATGGTTGATATTTCCGAAGTTCTGTCCTACCATGATACCATTATTGATATTGGCGATCAGGTTCGCAGTGTTTCGTACCGTCATGTCTGCCATGGTGGTGGGGCGATAGGCAAGATCTCCTCAGTGACGAGTCATCTTATCTTGAAGTCGCAGAGGACAGCAAACATAAGACCTTACACAAACCTCCTGTCCGTTTGCTAATTTAAAACCACGTATGTCAACATGGTGACATGTTGAATCATTTTAAGAGTGACTTTGCATGCTGCACTGAGCGGCCCAGACCGTAAACATCCGGAAGCCGTGTGACCTATGAAATTAAACGAAGGCCAGGGCATGAACATGTTCATGTAGTTGCAAGCAGCAATATACTGCTACATAATGTAAACAATAGTGTGTGGGAAATACACTTGCATTGCGATTATTTACCGTCTTGCTCAGTCGCGTGGTGCCTGCGTTCTAAGACCAGCACATTAAACAAGCGAGAGTAGTTGTAAGTGGCGCATCAAAGGATGAGAGTCTACACCGATCGTATCACACTCGCTCTTTCTGCTTGTTCTTTGCTGCCCAACGAACAGGCAGCAAGCCCCCGTCATTACTGATGCAGGTGGACCTCTGAGCACCTAGCTAGTCAGCCATCTCCCCGTCAGACACCACTGAATCGATTATATCAAGACCAGGAAGCTGCTAACTAATGTCACTGAGTAAATCCAAAGACTTTTCCCAAAGCTTCGCATCACGAAAGCCTTTCCGTGTCCTGTAAACATATGAGAAGATTCGGCGAAGTTCCCGAGGTTCTTGGGCTAGTATTACTGAGAAGATATGCGGGGATGGCTTCATAGCCTCGGGAGTCTTACGGACGTACAGGCAACGGCGATAGACTGCACACACTGCCGAACGCTTGGTGCTACTGTCTCCTTAGGTGACTGTTATTAGGGACCGAACATCGTGCCAAGCCTTGGTGCCGTTTACACTTTGTAGTATTTGAGATTGGTGGAGGATGCGTGGGTAGTGACGATTGAGTCTTCCAAGAGGAAGAGGCCTGTATGGTGGCGAGGCTGATGGCACTTGCAGGCTTGCGCGCATCAAATTGCCCAGACTGTGGGTGTGGACGAACCTTCTCATCGCATAGTTTGGGCCTCGTGTTCTTGCCGGATGTTGCGACGTTCGTCGTCCTATAGATAGGCGGGGTTGAAGAAAGTGCTCCTCTACCTATGGAACTCGGTCGTATGGGAATGCCAAAATGACTGCACTGCGACGCGACAAACTTCCCCAAATGGACGGGTTATCGAGTGGTCGATGCAAGACAGCTCACTGATGAACTCATGGTTACTGGTGAGCAGTAAGCAAGACCACTGATTGGCGAGATCTTCTTCGGTAGTTGTTCGGCAACTGAAGGTTATCCGGTACACTTTCCCCTGAAAACTACCTAGGTAGATTAATAATTACTGATTATCTGGAGAAGACGGCGACGCCATGTAAGGGTCGCCGGCGCAGGGCGCTATTGCTGGGACTGTCAGCCAATAGTATGGTTCTCGTATGTCAGAAGTACCAGTCGTGGATCTGCCCAAGCACCAGCCGGGCAATTTGATGGTCGATCTGAACCACGGAATGAACGAGACCCGGGGTAGTTTCCGCTAGCGTCGCGCTAAACAACGATTTCGTCGAGCTTATCTCTACACTTGCGCTGGACGCCACGCCGCTCCGTCATCTTGATCAGATTCACACGGTGCCTTCCGTCTATAGCGCATGTTGCCAGTGGGTCAAACGGACTTGCGTTGTGGAGTCTATTCACATCTTGACAGGCAGTTTGCGGAGTTCCACCGGGCACCGGGTCTGTCCGCCAAGTGCCACTTTTGGCGTGCCAACAACGAATGTTTTTTTCGTCGAAAAAGAACTAAAGTCATCTCCAGGCTCCGGACAAGCGGACGGTAATAACAAAAAAGAAGTTGGCTAGGGATATGTCGTGGATGACATCCATTATCACTGGGTTGCACCGCGCGGGAACTACCCGAAGTAGCAAACTGAATTGTTTCCCATCGGATGATGCATCATCCAGTTCATTGCGCGTCAAGACGACTTCTGTAGTCCACGCCAAGAGAAATCGAAAGCTGTGGGAGACTACTAGAGGATCTTCGCAACTTCACTTTACACTTCCCGCAACTTCCATGACTCGCCGTCGTGTTACTCTAACTCGGATCTATCCCCAGTCGCCTCTCAAGAGAACACCGCGAATTCCCAGCACCTCATTGTCTAAGGCCTTTTCACTACTACATCGGGATGACTAGGCAAACAAGAGGGTCTCGAAGGACACTCTGTTATTCCTAGACTTCTTTCGCAGCCAACTCAGGGTCTGACTATACTGCTGATCACGGAATGGCATCCGTTGTCCTTCAATAGCGCATTGCCGCTCGTAGCTCCAGTCTTGGCAACTATACCCCAGCCATGTGAGCCTTGCAGATCGACGTGGGCGATTACTGTCTTGGGACGATTCCACGACTGCCCCGGACAATGGATTATGTTCGCCACCGCGACTGTTGGCTGCACACTGACAAAGTAGTCCATGTACTAGCGGATCAACCATGAGAAGATACTCGAATTCGTTCGAGACCGAAGACACCGGCTATGGGGAGCGTTGGGAGTGACCCTTAACTCCACAGTGGGGAACTTACGCTAGTCTGCAGCCGTGGATGCAAAGAAATATAAGATAGACGAGATCTGCTCACTATCATCAGCATCTTCTCACCCTCCATCACTGCATTACACAATGTTTGCGAAGACATCTCTCGTGCTCCTTACCGGACCAGCTCTGCTGGTCTCGGCTTTCCCCGAGATAGCTCGCATGGTCGCTGAGAAGCGCATCCAAGAGCGTCAAACAACGCCACAAATTATCGAATTCCCAGAATACCCAGGCACACCCAACCATGCCCTCTTCAACCAATTCGACCCTGCCCTCCAACTCGTCAACACATCTGGCGAGCACGAGTGGCGCGCCCCAGGCAAAGGAGACATCCGCGGCCCTTGTGCCGGCCTCAATGCCGCCGCAAACCACGGCTACATCCAGCGCGACGGTGTTGTCGATGCAGCAAGCATCAACACCGGTCTTTGGCAAGCTTTCGGCCTCGACAAGACAGCCACCATCTTCCTCGAGACCGCAACAGCCTTCTTCAACGGCGACCCCATCTCCGGCCGCTGGAGCATCGGTCCCCATTCAGACAAGACCAGTTCTCTTCCCCCACTGGTTGGTGACCTCCTTGGCAACGAAACAGGAATCTGCGCATACGGCCATCTAAGAAGTGAGGGCGATGCCAGCATTACCCGCGGTGACTGGCTCGCACCTGAGATGAACTCCAACTGCCGCTCCTACCCGCAATACATGCAAGAGCTCTTTGACCTCTCCAACCAGAGGGCAGGAGGTCTGATCACGCCCCGTGTCCTCGCAGAGCACTCCAACAACCGCAAAAAGCACAGCATCGCTACCAACCCATTCTACTTCAGTCCCGCGTACGCTGGTGTTGCATTCACCTTTGGCGCACACATGTTCGCGTACCACTTGCTTGCGAACCACAGCGCTGAGGCTCCCCGCGGATTCCTGACGCAAGATGTATTCATGGACTTCTTCAGCTACAAGCGCGACGCCAGCGGTGCGTTGACATACAAGTACGGCTATGAGCGTATCCCAGACAACTGGTACAAGCGCCACCCGCTCGACCCATGGACGCTTGCAGACATTGGCGTCTCGACCGCACAGCAATGTGCCGCGTACCCGTTGAACTGCCAGGTCGGTGGCAACACAGGCGCCGTAAACAGTTTCTCGGGCGTCAACCTGGGTGACATTACTGGCGGCTTTATCAACTTCGCAGAGGACTTGAACGACCCCAAGAAGATGGGCTGCTTCATCGCGCAGGCTGTGCAGGCGGACACCCCGTCTTTCTTGAGCAAGCTTCTTGGAGGTGCTGCTCTGACTGCTGCTTTGGCTGCTGTTGACAGTCGTCTTGGGCCAGCGCTGCAGCCGCTTAAGGATCTAGGCGGCGGATGCCAGGGCGTGCCGGCGGGCAGGAGTATGTTCGACTATGGCATCAACTTCCCCGGTGCCACTCTCGAGACCGAAGGTCCCAGGTCTGGACAGTAGAATTGGTCTGTGGTGTCAGGTGTAAGTAGCTGATAGATAAAAGTATTAGCTGTATCGAAATACAAATTCTCTAGTTCTATAACTACTCTGAGTTATGCAAGTGACAAATTTGAGGCGTGATAGCGAGACTGCTTTTAGCACGGGAGTGGGCAGCATCTGCTTCTACGCTTCTTTTAACCTGTTGAGGACATTCGTGTCACACAGCGGTTGAAGTGTCAACGGACTGTATCGTGAAGTTACCGAAAAGGAAAATGCGGTTCTGTCTCAACAATAACCCAGATCAGACCCGTCGTACGTGCGCAATCGACAGAAGATGTGAGCAGAAAGGAGGTATCGCGCCCGGCAGAACTCGAGATTCCAGACCCACACCCTCCCTATCCCTATTGGCCCTCCGCGGTTCCTCCAACGGCCTAGCCCCGCACTAGCCCCAACTAGTGCGGCGGCATCGCTGAACCCTGAATCCCCATCCCAACTTCCTCAAAACTCCCCTTCCGAGTCGTCCCACCCCTGCTATCGCCTTAGCATAACCCGCGATAGCAAGAACTGTCCTCCATCATGCCTTCTGCAGCCGATATTCTTAGCGACCCTGAAATCGCGCAAGCATACGAAGACGTGCGCTCTGACAAATCCGAGACCACGTGGCTTATCTTGAAGGTACATCCGATAATGCGCCCGAAGGGTTTCATTCACCGAGACGTTATCGAAGGCATTAGGCAAGAAAATGTGAGGGATTTGACGGCTGACCATCCTCAGTATGCATCCGCAACCTCAGATAACCTCAAACTCGCTGGCACAGGCAGCGGCGACATTGCCGAGATGACAGAGAGTCTTGGCGACGACGAAGCAGCATACGCCTACGTGCGCATGAAGCTAGGAAACGACGAGTACAGCGAGCGCGTCAAGTTTGCTTTTGTTGTTTGGCAAGGTCTGTCATGTCCCCTGCCTCAATATCGACATTGCTGAGACGTCTATAGGACCCCAAACAAAGGTGATGCGCAAAGCCAAGATGAGCTTCCAGAGTGGCCAGGTCAAGCAGGTCATCCGTACCTATGCTGTGGAGATCCAGACAGGGGATAAGAAGGATTTGGAGGAAGAGGCTGTGACGATGAAGCTTAGGAAAGCTATGGGTGCGAATTGTGAGTATACGTTTTGCTATTTGTGTTGACGGAGGAGCCATGCGATATTGGTACAAGACCAGAACATGATGATGTAGGATGTGTGTGCTAATCGTTTGAACAGATGATCGCCAGAAAACAAACTACTAGAGTATCTTATGCCATACGGTAACGAATTAATCCGACTCCACGAGTCGACCTAGGGTGTCGTACTGTGGTATCACATTGCCCTCGATGCCTTGCATTTTGCACAATTCCAAAAGCTGCTCTCTAGGCTCGGTCCCAAGCCAGTACCCCGTAAACAGCTGGGCTCCCACGTCATATGTCAATTTCCTTAGCTGCGGTGTTGCGGCCTTCCACTCTGGCTCCCGATCTTGTACCCATTCGCAAGGTTCACCCTCATGAGACGTAACTACATCAGAGGCTGGTATTTGACCCGCAAGGTACTGTCGGAAGATGGCCATGGCGTTGAGATCTTCAAGGCGCGATCCGAGTGCTTCATACGCGGAAAGGTCATTCGTGATTGTCAACGTTTCGAGCGTCGGAGGGAGATGTTTCGCTAGGTTTGGCGTATTATTCATACCAAACAGCACAGGGAATGAAGCAGTCAAAGTCGTGAGAACGGGGAAATCGTGTAGTGGACCTAGACCTTCTCTTACAGGCTCCGCGGCGTCGGTTGGGAGGTCATCGCTACCATCGTTATTATAGTGCTTGTAACGCACGGTCAGATCGGTAAGCGTGCCGCGTATATGCCGTAGTGTATCCTTCAAGATCGACAAACGGAGAGGTGGGTGTTCTGGATGCAAACAGCAATCGTAGTAGAAGACCTTGACGTTGGGCGTCTGCCTGAGCAGGTACTGGATGGTGAGAGGGTCCATCGAAGAGGGAGTAAGGCGGAGAGTCGTCAGTGTCTGCGATAGAGGAGGTGTCTCTAGTGGCCACTCGAATGAGCCGTCCACTCCATCTCCCTCGTCCCATAGTCCGCCATAGTTATCATAGTCGCCCTCTCTCAATGAGCACGTGATAAGGTTGAGCGACTCTATCGCCGGCAGATAGAAGAAGTGAAGTAGAGTCTCTTGCTCGCTCCAGAAACTACGCTCCCATGTTGCGGCCGCCCCCTCCGTCTCTTCCAAGGTAACGCACACAGTTTTCAACTTGGCGAACCATACTGGTTGTCCATCATCTGCTTCTGACGCTGCTGCATTCTTCATGATGACATACTTCATCATGGCAGGAAACCACCGATTACCCAAGAAGAATCCCCACTCCATAGTCAAGGATTCCAAATGCGCTTGACATGTGCCGACGAGAAGTGCGATCAACATATGCTGCGCCTGTTGTCTCCAGCCATGGCCCCACGTCTGAAACCCTTCCTCTTTCACATGAGCCTTGAACATCTCATTTTCCCACTCTTTGCCACTCGCATCATACTCAAAGTCTGGGAAGATATCTCCGGCAACGTCTAAGTAGCCGTACTCAATACATCCCTTGGCGCAGAACTCCAGTCTCTTGATCAGCTGGATGTATTCGGGCTTCTTGGTGAGCGTGCGGATCAGAGACTGTATTTTAGGCGCTTTCTCAGTTCTTCTGTCCATGCCACGCTGTGGTCCTCTGGTTTCTTTTGAATAGGTGTTGTCCCACGTGAGAGTGATGGTGTGGTACGCTGCCGGTATGGCGACAGCGTGGAGGGCCTTGCATGTTCGGGCTAGGTTGATGATGGCGCGGCTACCAAGATCGGCGAGTATGAAATCGAGTAGTTCAGCAGGAAGCTCGGTGATTGATGCCATTCTTGTCTTTTCGAGAAAGAGTGAGGGCGAGGTATAGGCGTGAAGGAAGACGGAAGGTGCAGACTCGGATATAAGGGAATTAGGCAGCCGTGTCAGTGCGCGACTTCCAAAACGGGTCGCCTTGTTGACTCGCATAGTACGCTATCGTCATTCATGATCGTGAGATCGTGTATCTATATCCATATATCCAAGCATATTATGCAGCATCTATAGCGAAGGCTTGTTCATGTGCGGAAACACATGTTCTAGCCCACCACCGGGGTCCGTTTTCGTCTCGCTAGGACTCGCCCTTGACGCCGCATCGACTGTTGGTTGCAATTCCGTCGCAGGCTGATCTCTGCCCTGATCATCGTCCTGTTTCCTTGCCAGTTTGTTATCGACATGATTCTCGAGCCACTTGTGTTCCTCTTGGTTCAATCTCAAACTCTCTTCCACGTCGCGCGTGAGCTTGTCGACCTCGTCCTCCAGCAACTCGTCGTGGCTCTTCTTGACTTCTTGCTTGGGTGCTACGGCTTCCTCCAAAGGCGCGGTTGTTGCCCAGAGCGCTTCCAGCTCGTCCGTCCACCCGCATGCCTCTGCCAACTTTCTCACACCACTATCGCAATCCTCCAGCAGCAGAACATCGTCTGGTCGTGTTCCCATATCGCCGACCCTCTCTGAGTTTATGAGTAGACGCGGGGTCTCGTCTTCGCACAGTTGCGGTAGCGAAGAGAACGGGGCTACGCTGAGCGACGTGCCCATGACTATGCAAAGGTCGGCTTGTGCTGGGAGGCCTCGATTGTCGAAGAATGCGGATGGCAACTGTTCTCCGAAGAAGACGATTTCGGGCTTGACGAGTCCGTCACATAATGAGTCGACGCAGCGCGGCACCGATTTGTTCTGGATGGCTTCGTTCATGCGCTCCTTTGGGTACGACTTCTTGCAGTCGATGCAGCATTGCCTGTCTCGAATCAGCACTGCGTGAAGCGTGTAGAAAAGAGCCTACTTACGTCGCAAAACTGCCATGAGCCTCTATTATCTTATCGCCGGGGACTCCAGCCTCGCGCTCCAGGCAGTCAATGTTCTGTGTGAACAGCTTCAGAAGCAGCCCTTTCTGGTAGAGCAAGCTTATGAAGGAATGTGTAATCGTCGGCCTGAACTTCCCGGGGTATAGTTCTTGGGCGAGAGAGTAGAACGGCTCGGGCGTCTTGCGGAAGAAATCGATGTCGAAGACGGCTTCGGGGTACGGCAGATTCAGGCGAGCGAGATTGGCGTATAGACCGGTTTCTGGTGATCTGAAGTCTGGTATGCCTGCGGAAGTACTTATGCCCGCACCTGTCTTCCGAATGTCAGCACGCGTCTGACCATGCCAACGCGCTGGAACTCACCATGACGACAATCTTCTTCGCGCGCCCATCCTTGATGTATTGCGCAAGAGCCTCCAGAGTACGCGCCGATAAGGTCTGAGGTGGCGCATTTGGGTCTACAACCCGTGACTCGTCCTGCCCCATCCTGCCTCTTTTGCCTTTGCCCTTTCGACCTTTTTCAGCGTTGCGCCACGGCTTGTTCAGTTGCGCCTGTTGGCGGTGCGCTTTATGTTTGCGTCCTATTTTGAACGACGTGAATGCGCGATTGTAATAACAGAGACGAGAAGAACGTGTGACTGTGATGGATAAGGCTGTGGGACGTATGACAGGCGCGTATTGCATGCCGTGGTGGGCGCCAGTGCCCCACGGAAATTATATCTCGGGAGTCCGGCGGAGGCGCTGCGTCATGGTCATGCAACGCCAGCGACGCCTCCTCACCAAATGCTCCCACCGACAACACACACCTCATGACCCACGGTGTCACGCAATTTGCTTAAATATTGCTAGTCGATATCTAATATCTCAATATATGTAAGCTACTTGAAACACGGCCCCAACTGATACAAGCACTCTTCATTGGGACAAGTCCCTGTCACCTCCTCTCCTGAGCAACTCACGTTCGCCACGACTTCCTTTCCATCAATCGCGTCCTTCACGTCCTTCAACCGGTTATCTCGAGCGCTTCTCTCGACAGTCTCTCGAATAGCCATGCAATCAAATTTCCCCTGGTCTGTTATACCCGTGAACTTGACCACGACCTTCATATGTGCGACTTCTTTCCCTTCTCCGTCCTTGACACTCACTCGAACATACTCGGGCGCGTTACACCATCTCAGTATCTTCTTCCTCGCATTGAAGGAAAGGCAAAATTTTGGGTTGCAGCCGGGGCAGATCGTAGACTCCTGGTCAAACTTGTAACAATTCTTCTCATCCTCGCCACTCTTCTGGAAGGTATCTGCGATCTGAGCGATGAAGGCCTTCTGTAGCGACTTTCCGTTGTACTTGACCCCTCCTTCGTCTTTACCGGGGATGTAGTCACTCTCAACATTGACTTCAACGAAGTTCGTTTTCTTTTCCACGAAACCATCTTTGTCAGGGTACTCTATGTTGTCAAATTTGTCCTTCTTGGTTTTGCAGGTATTACCGCCAGTTTTGTCGTCGTCGCAGCGGTTCTTGAGCGTATCGGTCAGGCCTTCGGATATGTAGCGACCGTACCATTGGCCGACGTGTTGGCGTTGGTTACTTATCTCGATTGAGAAGGTGTACGGTTGAGGACCTGAAGTGGGACTCGGGGTGGGAGAGGGTAAGGTCGCCAAGGTAGTACTAGGAAAGGATGTCGATGTGCTGACTACATTGGACATAGAGATGAGGGTCGAGGAGGTAGTGGAAGTACTGTTTGACCAGGCTGACGAAGAGCTGGTAAGGACAGTCGGAGAAGTTGGAGTCGGCTCTTGCGTTGGGCTCGTAGAAGATGAGGTCGCTGTGACGATACTTGATGCTGGTGGTGGGCTGTATGTTACCCAGGTTGGTGGTTTGCTCGCTGGTAAGTCAGTTCAGCACTACGCATTGGTCTTATGAACAGCACTAACTTGCGCCTTTAGTTCCTACCGTAGTTCCAACGAGCAACGAAAAGAATGCTACGCCAGCGTAGTACTTCATCTTTGCGGTAGTCGAAGCTCGCATCATGAATCGCTGGACTTCGAGGGCTGCGAAGATGCTGTGATGTGTCTTATGAAGATATAGCAGCGTATGAGTTCAATATCGCAGGCTGTCAAGTTCGTTACGTGAAGTCAACGGTCGGGAATGTGTCGCTTGCTCAGCCATTCCATCATCGCGAAATCGTTGATGAATGCCTCAGCGTCAGGGACTTCACGCTACAGAATTTGCATGGATGAATGTTCACGTCAATCTCCATCGGAAGGTGGAACTACCCATCATCGCAAAAGCTAGAACGAGTCTATCTGGTAGACTTATTCGCATTCGTATGCCTCCGAAGCCTTTCGAGGTTGTCGTCACCCAGCCCAACCTATCGGCATGACGAAGATACGACGAAGAGATACACTCCAGTACCCTGTCTCTTCTTTCTTCAATACACTCGTAGAGTTAAATCCTACAATGTTGAGTTCCGAGGGGTCGAAAGGGAACGGCCGTTCCGAGATCGCCGCGCGTCGAGTCATGGACCTGACGCCCCGCCACTAGCTACACCACCGACCAAACTCTCGCACAAGTACAACAGCTATAACAAAACACCGCATACTATAGCATCGAATCGTGTCACGGCAACGCGGCATGTCCTGCATCTCTCCAAGCTGGAAGTTCCGGTGGTCATCGTCGCTCGAATATTAGTCAGGGTTATAACTGATAACCTGCGCACCTCACCGCTAGGTACATAAGCTATACCGGAAAAGGACTTCCTTTCTCCATCGTGGGAACGGTCCGAAGCGCTATGAGGGGTTTCAATAGGCTTGGAGGTTTGGTACGTCGGCTTACCCACTGAAAATGCTTATTAGTCGGCAGTTATGCTGGCCTTCTCCATTCCTTTCGTTTGTGCCTGCGCTACTCAAGGAGCATTGAAGAATCGATCTACCAACTACTGAAATACTTCATCCTACCAGCAAATACTCACAAATCAGTTACCATGTCTCTCAAGGACAAAGTCATCGTCATCACTGGAGCTGCGTCAGGTATGGGCCTCGAAACCGCCCGCCTGTTCGCCAGCAAAGGCGCCAAACTCTCGCTCGCCGACGTACAAGAGAAGCCATTGAAAGAGCTCGAGTGCGAACTTCAGAAATCAGGTTCACAAGTTATGACTCAGGTCGTAGATGTGAGCAAGCGTTGCGATGTCGAAAGCTGGATCGCAGCCACAGTCGAAAAGTTCGGGAAGCTGGATGGTGCAGCCAACCTCGCTGGTGTAACTGGCCGACAAGGCGCCGTCGCCGGTATCGAGGAGGTGGAAGATGACGACTGGGACTTCGTTATGGCTGTGAATGTTACTGGGTTGAGGAACTGTTTGCGCGCTCAGGTACCGCACATGAATGAGGGCAGTTCGATCGTCAACGCGGCCAGTATTCTGGGTATCATTGGCGCACCCAAGCAGTTGGCGTATTGCGCCTCCAAGCATGCCGTCGTGGGGATGACAAGAAGCGCAGCGAAAGAGTTGGGGCCGAAGAAGATTAGGGTCAATTGCTTCTGCCCGTAAGTCAACATATTGAAATCCAATTTGAAGGTATTAATGCGCTAACTCCGTCTAGGGGACCCGTTGATACGCCGATGTTGAGGAAGGCGTATGAGATTCGAGGCGCACCAGTCGATTACTCATTCCTTCCGTTGGGAAGGGAAGCACATCAAACGGAGATTCCGCCGCTTATCGAGTTCCTCATTTCGGACGCGTCTTCGTTCATGACTGGAACTGCCACGCCGATTGATGGTGGATGGTATTGTTAGATTCAAGGCAAATATTTACACACGCAGCCAGGCTGTTGAGCCGATCATATAAAGCCTAGTACGATATGCGTAGATTGAAGAAGACGGAGTGGAAATGTATCATGGCATTGGGTCATTCGTTTTAGCATCTAGAATTCCAGCTGCAGAGCTATCAGTGATGTCTTTCCCCCGGGACCTGTACCCATGTCGCTCATGATCTACTAGTATCCAACATGCAGCCCGTTCAAGTATCTAACAACCCGCATCACGTACGGGTCGCAATCATGAGACCAAGCTCCTTGCGGCCACCATGGGCTCATGTCTCCGTCGCTCCAGTGAACCGGGATAATGAACCATGTCGCGGCCTCTTCTGCCCAAACATCGACGTGTGACCAAACTGCTGGATAAGGATCACCTCGAGAGTCTGAGCAAACCAACTCAATGGTCTTGAGTCGTGTGTTGAACTGACCTTGATAGCGCAATTGCTCGAGCCAGTCGACCACCGAGACATAAGGCGCCGTAATTGTGAGATGTTCGAGCGAGCGAGGGAGCAACTGGTGTATAGGGACGGATTGATGCTGCTGCCCCAGGACACCAAAGTCAGCGCCGAGAAGTAGCATTTGCGGAAGAGATAGCAGGGTCAGCGCTTGGAAAGCACAGAAGCTAGAGAATGGGCTGACGTAGTGCAGAAAGCTCGAGTCAAGGTCTTTATATACATCAATCCACAACCCGGTCAGAGTTTGTGATAGTGAGTTCATCCGCTTCAGTACCACGTCTGCGTGGCCTTCTCCCGGTGTTCCGATTATGTCAATATTCTCGTGGTAGCGATCCGACTCCTCGTCATCTTCTGCAAAGCTGTAGTCTGGGTTGTACTGCTGGTTGTTGAGGTATAGCTTGGCTTCGCGCAACCTGGGATATAGACTGGAGGAAAGAAAGCGGTTTTCGAGTGCCCGACACCAACTGGTAGTATTCAGGTCCAGCAATTTAGTAGAAACTTCCAACACGACGTTCTGCACATTAATACCGGGCGATGGTATCTCGTTCTGGGTCTGCGCTCGTTTGAGATCAGGACGGCGGCACTCGTGTGATATCTTGAGGGTCTGCAGTTCCGGTAAGAAAATCCAGCTCGATGCTATATCGTAACCGAGATAATACAGAGTCTGTAAGCGACACAATCCAGGAATGGCGGTGAGATCGAGTGGTAGAAGAGCCGCCGAGTCAGACGTCTCCTCAAGGTATCCGAAGAGCCCTTCCAGGGGTTGGCAACGGTAGCGATAGTAGCTATCATAAGTGGAAGCGGTAGTGAAGCCAGCATCAGACAGGAGTTCAATAGTCAGGTTTCGCAACTTAGGGACGATTGTGAGTATAAGGCCTGTCCATGCTATGCCATCGCCTGCTTTCAACCGGCGCATCCAATCCCCAACGCGATTGGCCCAGGGAGCACTATGAAGGCCAATCTCTCGGAGACAGTCGGCAGCAAGACTCATAGCGTCGGGATGAACGATAAATTCAGCACCGCCCTTGGATGCTGATACTGAAAACATACGGACTTTCGAAGCCAGCCGAGGGTGATGAAGCAGTGTTTGAGCAAATGTGAAAACGCGATTTCTCATGGCGATGGGGTTTTGATACTCCTCGCTGTAGGGCCTTCCTATCACGGGTGCATCGTAGAGTATGTCTTCTGCGGTGCTCGAGAGCTTTCGGCATGTCGATGCTAGACTGTAAAGATCGGACTGGGAAAGGTAACGGGCAACGGGAAGCAGGAGCTCGGATGGTAGACCCTCGAGCTTCGGCATCATTCCCAAAGTTTTGTTGCCAGAGTTTGGTGTCTTGGTATCGAATGGCGAAGCGGATGGAGTCGATGAGAGGTATTATGCGTCACTCCCGATGCGTTTATCTCGCCTGGGCGAGAACCTATTCGTTAGTGCTGGAGCCTGGGTGCTCCTCACTGGTGCACGTACCGATCATTGTGCGACCAGCGTTGCCTTCCATTACTTTCACTTGGTGTGTGACGTGCAAATGTTCAATTAGCCGCTGCTTCTTCAGTTGACCCCCTTCGTGTCAACTGATCGTGTACCTCCGCGCTCATCCACCAAAACGCACACTGCAAACTCTCCACACCATGTATCCTCCAGGCCTTTCGCGCTTCGAGATTTTACCCAACGAGCTCAAGCTTCTTATCATCAATCGCATCGACACCAGCAGCCAAGCTTCTTTAGCGCGTGTATCGAAGACCATCCACCCTGTCGTCGAAGAAGTGCTCTACAAATTGGTCTGGATCGAGAAGCCAAACACCACAATGATCGTGTTCCCTATTGCGAGCTTCGTAAGAACAATCCTATCGCGCCCTGACTTAGCGCATAAAGTAAAGCAGGTTACCGTAGGGGTCAGTGGATTACAAGTCTATGCCGATCTGGACATTGAAGACCTTATAGGCTTCAACGTATAATCTATCTTCACGACCCCGCACGTTGAGATAAGTAGGATAACAAAACCAACACACCACATTCCTCACGCGTTCGGGACTAGTTGTTCGGGAGATCCTGATAGATGACCAGGAGGCGGTCATGGGTAGTGATAGACGGCCATGTGGTTGGGAGAGCGCTTTCAATATCTGTTTATTCTTGCTCTTCTCCATCATTATAGTACAATACTATCTCATCACCCCAGCCATCTTCACTCACCAACGACTCAGACATGAACCTCAAGCCCTAGGTTCCTTCCCACCAATCTGATCACTCTCCCTAACAAAACCCCCCTTCCCCTGCCCAGGCCGAATAACATGTTCCTGATTCTCCTGCTCAGCCGCCCACTTCTTCAGCGTATCCAACCCCACACTCTTCAACGCGCTCTCATGCGTCGACTCCAACTTGACCTTAGGCACCTCACCAATCCCCTTATCCGCAGCGCTCTTCCACGACGAAGCCTCGAGGCAATATCTTTGTCCCGGCCCTACACCGGATTTTCGCAGATCGGTACCGTTTGAGGTGGAGAAGTCGAGGAAGCTGTTGGTGAGGATGGCGGCGATGGGGTTGCTGCTTGTGCACATTCCGGCGTTGATGGTGGAGGGGAGGTTTGAGGGGGTTTTGGACTCGGCGGAGTGCTTGTGGAGGGGTGCGTTGAAGACTGCGCTGTGTTAGCTAGTTGACTACGATGGGAGTGTGGAGACGAGTTGACGTGCCGTTCTTTTGAGTGACGTCCATCTTTCCTTGTTGATTCTTGCCTGACATTTTGAG